CTATTCACAAAAGAAACTGTACTTCCATTCACAAATCTTAAATTTCTCACCTGGTAATCAAGCTTAGCCTTTCTTAGGACCACCTATAGCCTACTCATTGGGAGTTCAACTAAAATTTACTCTTTGGAAAAGACAAACTTTCCAATTGGCCTGTCCTTTTGCAAACACTTATGAAGGTTGGTTTTTAGGCAAGGGAGACTTATTTATGTCTCCCTCCATAGGAAACTATTATTCATAATGAAGATATTGCTGCCCACTTGATGGGCCTTTATGTCTATGAGACCTTGGTGTCCTTGAGGGCAGAGTGGGTTTGCTCTCCCCTGTGTACTTCGATGTAGGCATCTAGTAGGAGATCTACAGAGGCCTTCTGAAAGAATGAATGCTAGGTATTGTTTTAAATGTTAACTCAGCATGATTCTAGGTCTATTAATTCTGTGTAATGTTTTGTGAAGATTGTGCTTCAGTAGACAGACTTGTGCAACAAGTTTGCTGTGAGTAGAAGTTTGGTGTCTGACACTAGAGAGGAGCTAGAAAATGCTCCTGGCTGGCCTGCGCATCTGGGGGTGGGTGAGAAGCTGCCCTGAGGCTGAGCTTTGCCTGTGAGAAGACAGCTCAGCCCTCCCGTGGACTTTCTTGCCCTCCCAACCGACTCCTGGAGCCGACTTTGCAAAAATGGCACCTGTTGACTAGGTGCGCAGCTACACTGCCTGCATCTGGGTCAGGAGGAAAAGGACGTCAGCAAACACTTCCTCCTCCTCCTCCTCCCCCCAGGGGAGGTCAGAGGTAATTGGCTGCACCACAACACTCAGCATTTCCTGTTTCAGAATTGTGGGTGAAGCAAGGACCTTCCCTGGACTATCTGTAATAGTCCTCCCCTTTTTCTGGTGGTTGAGTAACAAAACCTACCCAAGCATAGAGAACTGACTTTAGATAGCATGCTGCCTTGTTAGTTTATCCCCCAAATCAGAAGGGCTGCAGGCTTCCTGGGTTCAACATGCTCTGAGGCTAAAGTCATGGAAGTTTCTGCTTTGATAACTCAAATTCAATCATGAGAGGAATTGACTCTCCCTCTACCAACATGTTTCAAGACGAAGTTAGGGAGGTGACATAACACACCAGCATTCATTTCCACTCCCTCCCTTACTCCTTTGTTCCTAATAGAACCCAGTTTTTTAGGTGCTCACTCTGCACAGTGATGTCTTTAGGGTTCCAGCCTCCTGGGAGTAGGTCCAGCGATTGGTTTGGTCCAGAATAAACATAAAGAGAAGTCAGCGAGATGGCTTCTGGGGAAGACTGCCTCACTGCTAAGAGAGAGAGACGGGAGGAGATCGTCTGGAATTATCTCATCTATATGTGATGACCAGAAGTGTAACAGTCACTGACTTCAGCAGCAACTGAACAAACTGATTAAACCAACTTCGTGCACCCCTCTTGTTTTATATGTGGCCATAACTTTTTTAAAAATATATTTTTATTGATTTCCGAGAGGAAGGGAGAGGGAGAGAGAGAGAGACAGAAACACCAATGATGAGAGAGAACCACTGACCGGCTGCCTCCTGCATGCCCCCTACTGGGAACAGAGCCTGCGACCTGGGCATGTGCCCTTGACTGGAATTGAACACAGGACCCCTCAGTCCACAGGCTGGCACTCTATCCACTGAGACAAACTGACTAGGGCTCAATTTCATTTTTAATTAGACTTCTGTGAGTTGGACTTAATGTTACTTGCAGGCAAAAGGATCCTATACTGTAGGCAGGGATTAGATCACAATCAAAATATGAAGAAAGTATACTTTTGCCAGCTTTTAATCACACAGTATATAAGTACCTAGCAGGAAGATGAACTCCATTTGTGTGCCCACCTCCAACAATATAAAACTTAGGACGCACTCATAGTGTGCGTTTGTCTCTGCCCTCTCTCGCTTCATTCAATGGGCACATATATTTTTCTCCAGAAAGAGAAACTATTACAGCAGCTGAAGTGCCCATCAGTAGATAAGTGGATGAAAAAGCTATGGTCCATTTATACAATGGAATACTACCCAGCCATGAAAAGGAAGGAAACCTTACTTTTTCCGACAGCATGGATAGACCTGCAGATATTATGCTGAGTGAAATAAGCCAGTCAGAGAAAGACAAGTACCATATGATTTTACTTATATGTGGAATCTAATGAACAAAATAAAATGATGAACAAACTAGGAACAGATTCACAGATTTGGAGAACAGATTAACAGCTGTCAGAGGGGAGGGGGACGGGGAAGTTGTTTGAAATAGGGGGAGGGATTAAACAAAAATAACAACAACAAAACAACAATTCATAGACAGACCATAGTATGGTGATTACCAGAGGGGCGGGGGGGGGGGGGGTAGGGGGAGGAAGGAGAGGGTAAAGGAGAGATAAATGGTGATGGAAGGAAACTTGACTTGGGGTGATGAACACACAATACAATATACATATGATGTATTACAGAATTATACCCCTGAAAAATATATAATTTTATTAACCAATGTCACCCTAATAAATTCAATGGAAAATTAATAAATTTAAAAAATATTAAAAGTGACAGATTTCTTATGAATTTCTGGTTTACTTTTACAATTTATAAGACTGCAGTGGTTGGAATAAGTTTTCAAGCCCTAGTGGTTTTTCTCTTGCTAGCTTCTCCTCTTGGCTTATTTGTGAGCAGAAGGACAGGTGAGCACTGTGGTTTAGGGTCAGTGGAACAATTACTAAAGTAAAAATAGATTTTCCTCTTTTTAAAAAAATATATTTTTATTGATTTCAGAGAGGAAGAGAGAGAGAGAGAGAGAGAGATAGAAACATCAATGATGAGAGAGAATCATTGATTGGCTGCCTCCTGCATGCCCCCCACTGGGGATCGAGCCCAAAATCTGGGCATATTCCCTGACCGGGAATTGAACTATGACCTCCTGGTTCATAGGTCAATGCTCAATCACTGAGCCACATCGGCCAAGCCTAAAGAAGTTATTTTTTATTTCAGTTCCCTTTGATACTGACTGATATATCTTCATATAAATATTACTTTTATGGTAACTGGAGGAAGACAAAAATAAATTGTTGCCAATAATATAGCTTCACATTTTCTATAATACAGAGACTGTTTTCCAAAATGAAGATGTACATGATTGAGCTCTCTAAATTATGCCCAAACATACCTCTTTAGCTGAAATTACCCTATTGATTTATGTATGTCTCCCTGCCCCTCTAAAGTGTTAGTACTCTATCCTAATTATCTTTTTATCATTGGCATATTGTAGAAATTCCACAAAAGCTTCTATTTCTTCTGTGAAATACTAAAACCTTGATTTTTAGTTCTTTTTCCACTTCATTCGCATTCTTTATTCCAAGTCCATATCTTGCACCAGTATCTTTATCCCCAGCCTTAATTACACTCTTAAGAAATATGTCAACCCTGTATCAGTTAGGATGCTCAATTACAGAGAACATCCAACTCAAAATGACTTAATGAATAGGACATTAATTATGTAACAAGACGAGCACTTCAGAGCTAGGGCAGGTCTGGGATTGGTTCATTCAGATGCTCAACAATATAGTTGAAGACTCAAGTTGCTCTCATATTTCTGCCCTGCTTTCTCCTCTATCTGTTCTCCTTAACATAATACCCATGGCCCCAAGACGGCGGTCACATTCATCACTTGCTGGTGTGACCCTGGCCTGCAGGGAAGAATATTTTTTTCTGTGTCCTTTTTAGAGAAAGACCTTCCACTGGTTCCTTCTGTAGACTTCCTCCCATCTCATCGGCCAAAATTGCCCAGATAAGTAGCACAGAGTACAAACACTTTAGAGAGTCAGGGAGACCTAAATCAATGTGACAGTATCAGCAAGAGAGATATGTTCTGGCATATGTCTAAATCAATTGCTGGTGAGGGGAAGGGGACACCAGGATTAGACTGATCATGGTTGACTGTGGACAAAAGCAGCTTCCTCTGAGACACTTGGAGGGTGGATAGCTAAACAAAATCAGGGTTATCAGCGAAGAAAATGTGGGGGTGTGGAGACAAGCTGGGGGTTTGGGGAAAGGAAATGGGTTTGGGGTAAGTAACTACCAGAGAGTGCTAGAACACTCTTGCTGCCTTGATTGGTTTTCATTTTTTTTAAGTGTAATACAAATTATAATTCTGGAAACAGTTCCCTTTTCTTGGCATAGCCTAGATCCCTCCCTAGTTCTCACTTTATTTTCAATGTTCAGGAAACTTACAAATTTTTTTTCTTAAGATCAATGACAGAACAACCAAGAAATCATAAAATGAAATTGGATTGCTTTCATGTCAAACTCTGTCTAGCTATCTTACTATTTACCTACTTATCTCTAATTTGTTTTTGCAATGGATTTAAAAAATAATTCTGTTTTAAAAAATCAAATTAAAAAAAAAAAGAATTCTGTTAGCCACTTGGAGAAGTCATCAAAGTTTGTTTATAAATGTGTTGTGAGAGAACCAAATTATCTACAATCCTATGTAGGTTTTGAAGACTGATTCCTTATTTCGACTGATTGGAAATTCAGTTGACCCTTGGACAATGTAGGGATTAGGGGGACTGGCCTCTGTGCAGTTGAAAATTCACATATAACTTTTGACTCCCCGAAAACTTAACTACAGTTGGCCCACAGTATCCCTGGGGCGTTGGTTCCAGACCCCCCTTGGATATCAGAATCCATAGATACTTAAGTTCCTTATATAAAGTGACATAGAATAGTGCATACAGTTGGCACTCCGCATCCACAGACTCCCAGGTGCTGATCGAAATTACTATTTTTGACCAGTGGTTGGTTGAATCCATGGATGCAAAACCCATGGGTATGGAGGGCCAACCATATTGAAAAAAATCTGCATATAAGTTTAGACTGTGTTGTTCAAGGGTCCGCTGTATACATGAAGAAATATGTCTTTGGGTTCCTTGAGTTTCCAGCATTCTTGATGGGTTGTTGACATAACTGTGTCTCCACTCTTCACAGAGCTTTGGACATAGTGGATGAAGGACAGGTGGCTCAAGAACACCATGAGTTTACATCACACGGTGGGGAATCCCAGTTCTTTCACTCCACCAGTGAGGTGCCTGGTCCTCTACCTGCAGAGTCCGGATCACTTAAAAAGGTAAGGCTTCATTTTCAACATTTGGCTGCTGGGAATAAACACTTAAAGAAGTAAACACTGAAGTAAAACCTCTGTCTTATTGAAAAACACATTCTTAAAAAAAGTGGTGAAAATATATCATATCAAAGCACCATGATAAGAAATAAGGCATCTGAAGGGATGAGTTTGAATCTTTGCTCTTTGCTGCCTTCAGGTGTTCTTCCTCATTGTCACGGTCACCTTTGCCTGCCTTTTTCCTTTTATATAGGCTGTGCTTTAATTAGAAGCTATACAAAGTAGGATGGCATCAATCATTGGAATTAGTGGTTCTTTCCCATGAAAAGCATTTTTACTACTTCCTATTGTAAGGCATTTAGAGTTGTGGTTATATCAGTGTTATTTCTTCCTTTTGTTGTTGTTAATCCTCACCCGAAGATATTTTTCTGATTGATTTTTTTAGAGAGTGGAAGTGGAAGGGAGGGAGGCTGAGAGAGAGAGAGAGAGAGAGAGAGAGAGAGAGAGAGAGAGAAACATTGATGTGAGAGAGACACCTTGATTGGTTGCTCCTGCACATGTCCCAACTGGGGCTGGGAATCAGATCTGCAACCCAGGTATGTACCCTTGACTGGGAATCAAACCCATGACCCTTTAGTGCAAGAACTGACACTCTAAACCACAGAACTATACTGTCCAGGTCAGTATTTTACTTCTTAATATCTAGATGTTTGCATAGCAAGTTCTGACTTAATTATATTGGTTTAAAAGAAGCATTCTCCCCAAGCTGATGAAAAATAGTAAGAAAAATGGACATGATGAGATTATTAGCTCATATTTTATATTAGAACATGCCAAATTGTGTAGGTAAAATTCAACAGAGAATGCTTCCTAACTCAAAATAGTGTAATATCAATCAGAGAACCAGAAATAATTTTTTATAAAATTAAATTTTATAAAATATTAAAAATAAAAAATTAAATTAAAAAAATTAACCTGGCGTACTGTAATTTATACTTACTGTCAAATTGGTTTTGCATTTTGTATTTCTTTCTATTTAAGAAATAGTTTATAACTAGAAAAACACCTGATAAATGTAGTTATTGGCCCCAGGTAGAGTTTCAAGTTGTTTTCCACATTTTCCTTTAATAACTTAAAATAAAAATAATTCTATGAGTAATATGCCATTAACTATCCTATAATATTCACTGAAGTCCAGGTAACAACTGATGGCAGCATTTAGAGTTGGGGTCAAACTAAATTCCCTGAGAGGGATGGCAATGAGGGGTCTGAGTGCCCTTTCCCTTAGTTTGTAGTCTATGGCTGTATTTTTTTTCACGGTACTGATATCCCATCTAGACATAGTCCCTTAACCCTGGCTTACTCTCCCAGGATGCAGTCAAGGAGCCCTGGAGAGGCCCAAGGCTAAGCCAGAGTCAGTACTATGAGGACTGGTGGGGAGAAGGAGGCCAGTTGATACCAGTGGGAAAGGCACAGGATTGGAGCCAGAAGCAGGTGAACTGGGAACCCAGTGTAGGTGGAGCCAGAGCAGGTAGAAGTAGGGCAGGAACTTGAAGAAGGGAGCAAAAAGAGGCAGAATGTCATTCTAGCTACAGTGTCTCCAAGTGTCACCTGAAATGGGGTCAGCCAGGCACACCTATACCTCGCTTTCCCCTTCAGAGATGGTCAAATACCACAATAGGAAGAGCTGGCTCCAGGGTCCACTTCTGGCTCTGTCTGTTGTCTCCTTTTCCCTCTCTCTCTGCTCTTTCTCCCCCTCCCTCATCCCTCCTTCACACTGGGCTCTCTGGCCTCCAGCTCTCTTGATCATTCTCATTTGCATATTCTACTAGGATTGAGAGAAAGGAAGAGGCTGGAGAACAGACCCCCTCGTCCCTGTTGATGTGTGCTCATCTTTATGTCTGTTGAGATCATGGCTGAGAGGTCTACCTGGACCATTCTCAGAAGTGCAAGACTCCCCTACACCACCAGCCCGGCCAGTATTTTTGGGAAACAAATGTTAACTCCTCTTAGATTCTGGGTAGTTCATACCTACTGTGAGTGCCAGGGTAGCTCCCATACCTTCAAAAGCACCCTTCTCTTAGTCCACTCTCCGCATGAGCCTGTCCTTTCCTGTGAGATTCAGCAGATTTACTAGGCAGTTATATCAGGAACACCCTTTGATGCTTTCCCATTTAGAAGGTCATAAATTCTTCTTAAGATTCCTAAGTCGATCTAGCCTCAAAGTTATATCTATTTATTCAAATGAATGTTTAAATTTGTATTTGCATTAAAGTTAAGCAATTTGCCTTTCCTCGGACAACCAGAATTTATTCACTCTCTACATTTGTTCTGTACATTTTATGTTGTTATATTTGTTTAACATGTTGTTAAAATTCCTCTGACATTCCTTAAAGCTGACACATTATCCAAAACATCTCAGAGCTGTTTCTACCACAACCACCTTTGCCAGTTTTTTCATTGCCCAGTTAATCTTGTAATTGTCAAGGTGGAGCATTTTCCAAATTCCTGCCTGGATATTCTAGTTTAGTCAATAAGAATAACAATTCAGTTTGACAAGCATTTGTTGAAGTAGCAAAGAGAAAAAACATAAACAAAACATTTTTCTAACACTTTCATTTTCCATGTTTCCTAGGTGGTTGGCCACCTGGAGAGGTGATGTGCCTCTATTTCCCTTCCCACTTCTATCATTTCTCCCTTTTTTCTCTCTCTATAGCTTCTGCTCCACACAGGTCCACTGACTATCCAATTCCCAGCCTTACACCAGACCAAGTTCAAAACATGAACTACTTAAGAGGCCTCAGACTCATTCACCACCACCCCAACTCCTGCCTCATCTCAAGGGGCATAGTGTTGTGTCTTCTCCACTGTTGGGCTGGCCTAGGACACAGAACATGAACATTGGTCACTGAGCTTGCCAGTTGTCTCAGGTCACCAGGCTGCTGATCTCACCAAGGACAGTTCTAAAAGCATCAGGCAAGAAGTAGGACCTTCCAAATCCTGAAGTGTAACCCCCAACCCTAGCCCAGACACTGAGGCATTATTTACTAACTGAGGTTGGACCTTCCCAATAGTGACTTCCCTAAAGGACTTACTATTATTATCCATCCATTTCAACTCTACATTGCACCTTCCTGGTGGTACTTTATCTTAAATTGTTGGTACCATGTGATACTGTGCTTAGAGACTGCTGAGCCCTTGGATGTATCTTTTTGCAAATCTCTGCTTTGATCATTAGTCAGATCTCACCGTGATTTCCCACACACTCCCCATAGCCCCCTCCTGCCCAGGACCTGTCCTATTCACACAGGTAGGTTTACCATCAAGCTTCAATTACTGAGCCTTTTCTAGACCATCTGCATGGCAGGACTCTCTATGCTCTATCAGTGCTGATCTAAGACTAAACTCTTAGGGAGGGGGAAAGTGTATAGCATGTTATGTTTTGTGTAAAAGTAGAGTATTAGAAAACATGTATCTTTGTAAATGCATTAAGAAACTATAAAAGAATACAGGGAAAACTAACAACAATTACTTGGTAAAGCAGGACGTGAGCAGATAGGGAACACAGGAGGGAGAGAGACTTTTTACTATGCACTTTTTCTACTTTTTTATATTTTGAATTTTGAGCCATGTGAAGATATTACCTAGTCAACATTTTTTTGAAGATGGAGGAATGCATAGATATGATTTAAGGTCTGTTGTGATTAAAGTTAAATTGAAATGGGTTAGGTATGCTCGTGTAATTTTTTTATGATTCTCTGATTTGCTGTAAACTATGTCAGTCCTGATTGCATTGCCTGAGGGGCTTCTACTGTTCCCAGGTTTTCTTAACATATCCATCTACTGCCTTCACTTATTCTCTTTCCCATGCCCAAAGCATCTTTCCACTTTTTGTCTACCTGCAAATTTCTACTCATTCTTTGCTCAAACTGCTCTTTCTTTGTGAACTCAAAAAGTTCTTCATGTTACTTTTTGTGCTGCTACTTGCCTTGGATGTCCCTTGAGCTCAACACTTCCCATATTGATTTCCAAATCTCCTTCCTCAATAGACTAGAAGGTCCTAAGAGTCAAACTGCATTTCTATGACTGGAACATTAACAAATTTTGCATGAATGAAATGCTGTATATTTTCAGTAAAAACAAAAAATAGTAGGAAGCAATGCTGTTACTAATGTGCAGCATTTCAGCTATCATGTGAGTTTAATGTTTTTTTAGGCTTTCAAAAGTAGATGAGGGCCGAAACCGGTTTGGCTCAGTGGATAGAGCGTCAGCCTGCAGACTGAAAGGTCCCAGGTTCGATTCTGGTCAAGGGCATGTACCTTGGTTGTGGGCACATCCCCAGTAGGGGGAGTGCAGGAGGCAGCTGATCGATGTTTCTCTCTCATCGATGTTTCTAACTCTCTATCCCTCTCCCTTCCTCTCTGTAAAAAATCAATAAAATATATTTAAAAAAAAAAAGTAGATCAGGAAAGCTCACCAAATACATATATACAGGGGTTGCAAAAGTAGGTTTACAGTTGTAATACAAAAGATACAATAATTAATAAATAATAATACAAGAATAAGTTCTGAGCTTTGCGTACTCAACAACTATAAGCCATGTGTGGGCAGCAGAAAGAGCACGTGGCAGTTTTCCAGAGTATGACTACCCTTCTACTCCAGCGCCTGTGCTGTCAAGTTGCATGGCGGCTAGGGGGACAGTTCTTTGTCTCCAAGAAAGCCTAGTATTATTGGATTCAGCAAGAGGTGTCATTCCTACATATGAGATTTCACAAGTTGGGCATTCTATAGGCTGGAGAATATTGCTTTAATATCTGAAGTATGGCATTATAAGCAACAGGATATGGTATACCAGTTGTTTTTCTCATAAGTGTAGGTCTGGCCTTGTAAGAGAAAGATTGATTGCCTCTGTATAGCTAGCTTTGGAAAAATTCATGTTCTCTGTGTTAACGTAAAAACCATTGAAACCTGTAAAGAATTTTTGTGAGTTTATTTGAGCCAAACTG